TTAGTTTGAATTTTGTGTCAGAAGTATTTCTTTTTGTACAAAATTAGACATAAAAACATTACAATTTAATGATGGACCATAGAAAGTAGTTGCATTAAGTTCATGATGTAATTAAAATCCTAAGGACCTAGTTTTAATTTTTGGGACACACTTAATCATTCATCTTCACACCTTTACACAATAATTAATAAGAGTAAGTATGAAAGAAGAAAATAAATCTTAAGACTATCAGGATATTTTACCAGAATGGACTTGATCATCTGATTTTATTACAGAAATCAAAGATAGTCTTACTAAACTTGGATACGACTTGAAGCAGAAACTGGTAGAATCTCTCCGTTATACCTGGAATAGTATTAATGAATTTGCAAGGGCTCATCGTTCAACACAGTCCCAAATAGAGGCTGTGATGGACCAGGTTGTACAGGAAGAAGTTGATCGACAGAGACAAGAAAGTGATGACTTAGAAAGTACTGGTGAGAGTTTTGTCTGTCTCTGACTTTGTGTTTTTAAATACAAATTTCTTTTTTAACTGAAGTTGTATATTCAGAAAATTGTGTAAATATGTATGTGATTATAAATAATAGTGAAACTGATTGATGTGAAAAACATAATATCCAGATATGTTGCTGTTTTTAGTCGTATATGAAAAATAGTAATTAAAAATACTTTAAAACATACTGAAGTGATATTATGAACTCATGGTTGATAAATTTAAGGTACCTAATTATTATATACTGGCGTAAGTACCCAGCGTTCCTTCGGTTATTAGGTTGATATATTCTAGATGATTATGTCAGTGTGTGTATCCTGAACCCATTTTAGCATAAAAATATAACCTATATACTTTTTTTGCTAAGCAACATGACATAAAAGCCATTGTTGGAATGTATTGTTATGAAAACACACTGGCTTTTCTATATATTAGAAGTTGTTATATAAGGAAACACTTTTCTATATGGCTTTTTGCAAGCTTGCCTCATTAAAAAGATGCGCATGAATAATATAAGTAATACCCTGGTGCACACCCTCAGTACGAGTGCAAAATTTCAGGTGTCTAGGTTCTTTCCCCTTGGAGCTATAGCCGCCACACTTTTGTTCTATGCAGTATTTTGCTAGCTTGCTTCATTAAAAAGATGCGTGCACACATGTAGATAAGTAATAATACTCAGGTGCACACCCTCACGGTCCACTTAGTATGTGTGCAAAATTTCAAGTTTCTAGGTTTTTTCCTCTTGGAGTTATGGTGGTCAAACAGACATGTCCTTATATAAAGCTTTTATCCCAATTTGTAAGTACTGATTTTGGTTTCTTTAGGAAACTTATATTAACATAATGTTTCTTCGAGTTTTTGAGACAATTTTAATTTATGGTAGTGAACTTTGTAGTTTAGGAAATGTTGGGTTTATTTCTTGTTAGATTTTATATGGCTACTCTAAATAGATATATTATTTACACACAAAATATAATCAATTGATAAATAGAACAGAAGCTTCTTTTTGTTGATAAAATGTTAAAATTATTGTAATTCTAATGTGCAAGGATTTAGGAAGAACAATATGTTGCAACTTGACTTGAGAGTTGTAAACTAAGTCATAAGTATGTAGGTGCAATGATTAACATGCTTGGCATTGCATTTCTAATTGTGGTAGTGATGTGGGTTAATTAACAAGGAAAAAAAATGGGAGAATTTTAAAATCATTTCATAATTTACTATACGATCACTGCACAAATATCAAGTTAAAGAAGCAATGTCTCTTGTTTAAATATCTTAAAGAATTATTATTTATATTTTTGAAACAGGATGTAGGAAATGTGATTGAACTTTTGAACAATGTAATGTCATGTATAGATCATATATTAATTGCCATTTTTTAAATAAATATGTACGATACTCAATATTCAGTGCTATGATATGTATTGTGTAAGCCAGTCCTAGAAAAACCTTTTACTCAACTAATGTTTGTGATAGTTATATTAATCACAACAGTGAAATGTGTAATCAAATCATTGTTATCATATTACCAATTGAACAAGAAATGTAATGGCTGAAGACATTCTACTACTGTTCACAGTCGCTGTCATCATCATGTTAATCAGAAGTCTTAATATATTTTAACTTGCAATATACACTGATGACATTTTTATGGCAAGGTTTTTAGGTTAGGATACATACATTAAAGTTTTTTAAACAACAGCCTTATAAAGATGTATTAACTTCAGTAAAAAAACAAAGGAAGTTTTTGAATTCTTTCTCAGAAGACAGCTGGTACACAATTTACTTTATATGTTTATATCTAATTAGATAGTTGTTTCAATTCAAGGTGTGTGATTTTTGCTTTTGTATATCTACTTTTGTACATGAATTTATTCTTTAAACAGCAGCTTTTATCTTGTACAAATTTTGCTTTAGATTTGTTTTCTTGTGATTAAAGTATCTTCTGAACTTAAAATACATTAGAATAAGAAATTAGTTCTTTTACTTGGTATTTAACCTGATTGTCTTGTTTTTATGAAATTATTTTGTTGTTATTATAGTATTAAGATAAAGAAACCTAAACATTTCAGTTGAGCCAAAGAATTGCTTGATTTACCACTGTGCAACGATAAGAGATGATCTTGTCCCACTAGACACAAAATGTATTTGTTTATATTGGATATATTTAATCAGCTGTAGTTTCAAGCTGTGTCATAGCTCTTATTATCCTAGTTATTGATACAGCTTTATATATCTTTAGTGCTTAGTTGTCTCTAGTGTAGATTTTCTTTAAACAGATGCTGTTGTGTGTTATATGCTGAAAGAAAAGCTGATAAGTCTAGCTATCCAAGTAGAAATTACTAAAAATGTATTATACATGCTAATTTAACACAAACACTAGTTTAATCAGTATAGTTTGTTTTATCACAATGTAACTAGAAGAGATGATCTTGTCTCACTAAATATAAAAAAATACTTGTATATTGGATAGTTTGATGAACTGATAAGAGAAATTTATAACTAGAAACTGTAGATTAAAAATAGCTAACACAAGTAAAAGTACCTGTCCCAAGTAAAGAGAAAAGTTTAAGTTAATCTATCAATTTAAATTATTTCATTGACTTTAAAAAAGTTAATTGTGTTGCACTTTTGGTTTCATTCAGAGCCACTCAACAATAACATACGGTAAATCTACATTTTTATTCTTTAAGTTAAGTCACATTTTGAAATGTGAATGATAGTGTGATTATTTCCGAACAATTTAGTGTAGAATATACTGCTTGCAGAATAAAATTTGGCATCAACATTATTCATGCCTGTTCTCATGTCATTTCAAAAGTGAATGTTGAACTTTGCCTGCCTGTACAGCTTTTCAAACAGCAGACCGACAACTGCTCGGATAGACACCATGGTTCATAATATATATAAGATAAGCAAATACATTTTGTATTTAGTGGTGCAAGTTCATCTTGTGTCACTGCATGGTGATGCAAGTAAATCAAACCACTCTTTGACTAAAATTAATTCAGTAGTTTTTCTGTTTCTGCTTCATATGCAGTGAAGTTTTATTGTAATTTTCGTTATTGAGATTAGGTGTTTTTCAAATATTGAGAAATATATAACTTTTTTTATAATCCAATTTCAGTTTCTGCATCTGACGTATCTTCAGAAGAAATCCAAATAGGCCAGCTAAATGGTGGACGACGTATAGATTATGTACTTCAAGAAAAGCCCATTGAGAGTTTTAACGAATATCTTTTTGCTCTAGGAAGTCATGCTTGCTATTGGTGAGTGATATGAAATATAATGGATCTGTTGATAAAAGAATTTCATGTTAATCTTCAACCTGCAACCCTTAAGTTTTTTAATCCCCAAAATATTTTATAAAATACACTGAGTGGTCACAAGTAAATAGACACCTAATTTTTCGTCATTTAACTGATTTACGCTAACTAATTTGTGTTCACAGAGCACTATGTAAATAAAAATGGTCCGCACACTAATCATCTTGTGCTACAACATGCCTAGAACTCAATGTTCTCTCGAATTGTCAGATTTTGTTAGAGGAAGGATAGTTGGTCAAGCAGATGGTGGAATAAGTCAGTGGCAAATTTTGCAGATTTT